AAAGAATCTTGGAGAATTAACAATGACACTGTAATAAGAAAAACATCTTTGTATGGTTTTCATCAAACCACTTTGGTTCATCAGTATTTCATTCATGATAAACAGCCAGGAATTAAAGAAATTGTAAATTCACAACTTCAGCACATTGTAGCTGTAGAGGAATTTGTTTTAACTTAGTTTGTATCAGAGGAAAAAGGAAAATAATCAGAAGGTTTTAACTATATGTTCAATTAAAATAAATTATTACAATTACATGTTTAATTGTATATTGTTACTATATTGCTTGATGTTGTATTAGGTCTGCATGTTTGCCATTCACAATATAGAACACACAGATAAAACTACTGCAAAGTGCAATGACAAACAGAACAGCAACCAAACAAATTTCAATTTGCTGAAGCCTGATTAGTCAATTATGAATTGTGATTGTTTGCTCTGTGTAACAGCACCTGTTATGAATAGGTGTTATGAAAAACATGTTCTATGCACAGATTTGTTTGTATCTAAAAATCTATTCTGATGGTGACTTGTCAAATCTCCTAATCAAACATTCATTGCTAACCATCACTTTTTCCACTATGTTTTTTGTATGAAATTAGATTTAATCAGCAGAAGCACACAATGTCAGAGACACAAAAGAGAAAGAAGGAAGAGAGTACAGCAAACAAATACACTTGACTTCTCTGTCAAAAACAGACCAATAACAATTAATCATAAACATTAATGCACATATTCAGGTGTCCGGGCACTTAAAATAAAAAAAAAAAAAAAAGCAAAGATATTTTGCACAGATGTTGACATCCATTCTTATTTATTTTTATAGAATTCTGTGTTCCTTACTTAGAATGTCTTTCCCTACTATTTATCTAATCTAAACACAGATCTAACAAGGTCTACAAAGATATTATAGAAGAAGATTGTGCTTTGCAGCTGATGGTATGATTTTTTTCTTATGTTTTTTTTATTTTGACATTTGATTAAAATCTTGATGCTTTTAGTTGTCTCAACAAATATGATTAGGAAAACAGCCATTGAATTCAACCTAGCATCAATTCAGCAGAACATTTGTAACCACTTCTATTTGGTGGACTGTCATATTGTTTTTTCCTTTATTTTTTGTTTGTTTTTGGTTATAATGTACTTGATGACAAGTATAGCCTATGCATTATTGTATAATACAAGCTTTTTCTACTACAGAATACATTGCAATTAAATGAAACCTATTGTACACTGTTGAATTGACTGCCTTATGCTGTGCTGTACAGGTGTCAGCTGTTGTTTTAAATGATGTACTGTCTTTACTACCCTAACTGAATAAACTCTCAGATCAGCTGGCTATCTCACTAAGAATGAGGGATTCAAACCTGTAGACTTCTTTAAGAATATAATATATCACACTAGAGTCAGTAAGCTATGGTGACTTTTGTAAAGAGTTTACCTGTGTTAAAGCATAGTGAACACATCCTAGTTATCCATGCAGCACAAGGGCTCATAAGCTGTTTATTGGGTCCAGGATCTTTGTGCAGGAGTGAGGTCTTATTGGAAGAAATAGTTGTGCAAAACAAAGTAAATATAGGGTTAATTGCCATTAAGGATTAGGAAAGGAAATATTTTAGGTTTAGAGTTAAGGTCATGAGACAGTGTTTCTTTTTATGCTAAGTGATAAGGTTTTATTTCAAGGTTCAAGTTAAGGAACTATTTTAGGTTTGGTAACGTGTTAGGGTAAGGGTTACAATAAGTATTATGCCAACTAAAGTGTTTGTGTAACATCCTCCTAGTTAGCTAGGGGGAGCTCTAGCTTCAATTGTTAGACAGGGGCTGAGCAGAAGCCCAGGTGCAACAGTCAGAGGGAGGTTAAATTTGTGTCAGAGCTAAGAGACTCTGCAGTCCAGCCTCTCTGAAATTTCCCCCTGCTCTATAATTTTGGAGAAAGGTCTAGGAGTGGCTGGTGTGTACTCTTAAGGGATCCTGGCCAATCCCCAAGCCAGGAAGCTTTGCAAGGGGCCAGGACAACCCTTAAAAGTGAGAGAGCCTGCTCAGCTGCAGGAGAGTTCGGGTGGAAGATGGAGAAGTGGGCTGAAGTGCAGGAGCCTGGGAGGAGGCCCAGATGGGAGAGGGGCTCATCTACAGGTGGAGGTGCTGGACAGGAGGAAAGCTTACACTCTCACCGACCCCCTGAGAGAGGACCACCTGAGCAGCAGGGGAGGAGTGGCCCAGCTAGAAGGTCTGCTAGCAGCCCCCGAATCTATAGCAGCACAAGAGAGGGACAACTGAGTAAACCTATACCCCGTGGGCCAGATAGGGGAAGGAGCACTTTGGTTGGAAACCAGATGAGCACACCTGCTGGGACTATCATTATTTTATGGTTGAATATGATTTTAATTCAGATATTGCATTAAAAAGTAAAATAGTAGGCAAAATATACCTCCACCAGTATACCCCCACAAACAGAAAAAAAAGGAGGGATATGTATCAGGTCAGTGAAGTACATATGAGGAAATATTACAAAACATGACAATGAGAACAATCCAAAGTTTTCGGATATAATAACACAAGCCTTATCAAACCCCAACATAAAGATCGAGTTGAGCTATACACCCAGAGGTGTTACACACATGAAGGAATGACACGTAGAATCAGATTGCCTACCCCGCGAGGTGGGAGACTTATGGAAAACTGGATGACTATATGCAGTACTATTGTAAACTTGATCCTGGTACGTTACACCAAAAATATTGGAAGAAAGATAGAGAATAAGAAAAAGGAGGAGAGAACAGGGTAGAAATATGAGAAGGAAAATTGGGAGTATCTAGAGTGCCCCTGGGAGTACAGTCAGTAGGCATGGCTGATGTGGTTGAATAGCCAGAAATGAGTGCCCCTATTTTAAGCATTGCGTATTCACTGCTTGAACGAGCAAGAAGATGAATATTGTCAGGGCTCCCAGGGTATGACCAGAGGTATGTGACTGACGCAGGGAAACGCAGACTCCAGATATGATATAAACAATATAATTTATTAACACTAACAATACATAAACGCAGTGCAATACTAAAACATAACACAGTGCAAACGAACCCAACCAAACCACCCACAGATAACAAAACATACAATGCAAGCGTCGTCAGGCAGGCCGGGTCAATAACAGGAGGTCAGAACGTATGGGGTTAAGCAGGAGAATGGTCAGACAAAGCCAGGGATCAGAGCAGGAGAATGGTCAGACAAAGCAGGGATCAGAGCAGGAGAATGGTCAGACAAAGCCAGGGATCAGAGCAGGAGAAGCAACGAATCAGACAGGAACAGGAACAGGATTGCAGGAACAGGATACAGGGCCCAGGAGAAACATACACCAAGGCAGAGTCTGCAGGTCTGGCCATCCCTTAAATACACCAGCATAAGCAGTTTCAGGTGTTTGGCTGGCTGCAAGGTTGAGTCTCTGATTGCTGGGAGCACCCGCTGGCCAGCCCTGGTACTGCAGCCCATAAGGCAGGTGAGTCCCACCATTGCTGGCCAGTCCATTCCTGACAGTACCCCCCCCCCTCAAGGAGCGGCCTCAGGACGCTCCAAACAGTCCTAGCTGGGCAAAATGTTCCACCGCCCGGGTCTGGTAACTGGCGGGATATCAAAGACTGGCACACCGGGCAGGACTCCGGGCAGCGGCACACCGGGCAGGACTCCGGGCAGAGGCACATCGGGCAGAGGCACACCGGGCAGCGGCACATTGGGCAGAGGCACACCGGGCAGCGGCACATCGGGCTGGACTCCGGGCAGCGGCACATCAGGCTGGACTCCGGCCAGCGGCACATCGGGCTTTACTCCGGGCAAAGGCACATCGGGCTGGATTCCGGGCAGAGGCACATCGGGCTGGACTCCGGGCAGAGGCACATCGGGCTGGACTCCGGGCAGAGGCACATCGGGCTGGACTCCGGGCAGAGGCACATCGGATCACCAGGCGAAGCAGCAGGCAGCGGGCCACCAGGCGGAGCAGCAGGCAGCGGGCCACCAGGCGGAGCAGCAGGCACCAGGCCCCCAGGCGGAGCAGCAGGCACCGGGCCCCCAGGCGGAGCAGCAGGCACCGGGCCCCCAGGCTGGGCGTCAGGCACCGGGCCCCCAGGCGAGGCGACAGGCACCGGGCCCCCAGGTGGGGCGACAGGCATCGGGCCACCAGGCGGGGCGACAGGCATCGGCCCCCAGGCGGGCGCCGGGCCCCCAGGAGGGGCGACAGGCATCGGGCCCCCAGGCGGGGCGACAGGCATCGGGCCCCCAGGCGGGGCAACAGACATCGGGCCCCCAGGCGGGGCGACAGGTCTCGGGCCCCCAGGCAGAGCGACAGGTCTCGGGCCCCCAGGCGGAGCGACAGGTCTCGGGCCCCCAGGCGGAGCAACAGGTCTCGGGCCCCCAGGCGGAGCGGCGGGCGCCGGACCCCCAGGCGGAGCGACAGGCACCGAGTCACCAGGCACGACAGTGGGCTCCGAGTCAACTGGCATGACCGCTGGCACTGGGTCAGACATTGGATCGTCTGGCTGGACAGCGGGCATCGGGTCACCAGGCATCAGGTCATTTGGCTCGACAGCGGGCACCGCGTCATCTGGCAAGGCAGTGGGCTCCGAGTCAATGGCATGACCGCGGGCACTGGGTCAGACATTGGATCGTCTGGCTGGACAGCGGGCATCGGGTCACCAGGCATCAGGTCATTTGGCTCGACAGCGGGCACCGCGTCATCTGGCAAGGCAGTGGGCTCCGAGTCAACTGGCATGACCGCGGGCACTGGGTCAGACATTGGATCGTCTGGCTGGACAGCGGGCATCGGGTCACCAGGCATCAGGTCATTTGGCTCGATAGCTGGCACCGCATCATCTGGCAAGGCAGTGGGCTCCGAGTCAACTGGCATGACCGCGGGCACTGGGTCAGACATTGGATCGTCTGGCTGGACAGCGGGCATCGGGTCACCAGGCATCAGGTCATTTGGCTCAACAGCGGGCACCGCGTCATCTGGCAAGGCAGTGGGCACCAAGTCATCAGGCACGACAGTGGGCTCTGAGTCAATTGGCACGACAGCGGGCACCGGGTCATCAGGTACCGGATTGTCTGGCTCGACAGCGGGCATCGGGTCACCAGGTATGACAGCGGGCACTGGGTCACCAGGCATCAGGTCATTTGGCTTGCCAGCGGGCACCGCGTCATCTGGCAAGGCAGTGGGCACCGAGTCACCAGGCACGACAGCGGGCTCTGAGTCAATTGGCACAACAGCGGGCACCGGATCAGGTACTGGATCGTCTGGCTCGACAGCAGGCACCGGGTCATCTGGCGCTGGATCGTCTGGCTCGACAGCGGGCATTGGGTCACCAGGCATGACAGTGGGCACTGGGTCATCAGGTACCGGATCGTCTGGATCAACAGCGGGCATCGAGTCAACTGGCCTAATAGGATCATCAGGCTGGATCAGTTCATCAGGCTGGATCAGTTCATCAGGCTGGGTAGAAACATCATGCTGGGTAGAGGCATCAGGCTGAATGGAGGCTTCAGGCTGAATGGAGGCATCAGGCTGAGTAGAGGCATCAGGCTGAGTAGAGGCATCAGGCTGAGTAGAGGCATCAGGCTGGGTACAGGCATCAGGCTGGGTGAAGGCATCAGGCTGAGTGGAGGCATCAGGCTGAGTGGAGGCATCAGGCTGAGTAGAGGCATAGGCTGGGTACAGGCATCAGGCTGGGTACAGGCATCAGGCTGGGTACAGACATCAGGCTGGGTACAGACCTCAGGCTGAAGTGCGGGTGCCGAGGCACCAGGCTGAACCACGGAAGGCAGGTTCTCAGACGGCAGGCTCACCGGTTTGGATACTGGCAGGATGGTATTGGTTGGAAAGAATTTTCGCTTTTTTCTGGTTTTAACTACTGGAGCACTGTAAGTAAACGCAGGTCTGCAAACGAATGGAGCAGCTGGAGACAGAGAAGAGCTGGAGGATGGAATAGAGGAGGGAACAGTTGCTACAGAGGGCTTTTTTACAGGGTTAAAGGCAGGATAGGTGCAGCGAGTGGGAACAGGGTACTTACATGCGGTAGATAGCAGGGCAGGAGGAGCTGTTGGGAATGCAGGAATAGAGCTTTGAGGAAATAGATTAGAAGCAGGACTGGGTTTTTGTAAGCTGACTGAGGCTGGGTGCAACAAATCTGTCCATGTCTGCAGTATGGGTTGAACAAAGCTGAGCTTACACAAAGCCTGTCTGGTCAATGACTGCACTGCGTTTATACAATCTCTTAGTACCTGTGGTGAACATGCAGAATAACGCTCCAGAAAGTAATTCACATCATCCTCTAATAACCATACCAGGGACTCTACCTGGTCGGCACTAAAATGGCGGCAAAAATTCATCCCTGCATTCGGGGGTACCAGATGAAACCAACTCCGCACAAACCTGAATCAAAGGTTGCACCTCAGAGAACTCTGTGCCCTGATCTACTAGAACATGAGCGAGCCGTATACATTCTAGCAGTTGATCCCGGGGATACTCCTTCAGAGTTTGATAAGCATACTCTCTGTCATCAAACACTAGCAGAGATAAATACACAACCTCATCAAGATCCATCTTTCCTAGCAACAAGCCAAGATGGCTTCCCTGTGCAGCCACTTCTGGTCAGGATTGGCCTTGGTGTAATGTCAAGGCTCCCCAGGGTATGACCAGAGGTATGTGACTGACGCAGGGAAACGCAGACTCCAGATATGATATAAACAATATAATTTATTAACACTAACAATACATAAACGCAGTGCAATACTAAAACATAACACAGTGCAAACGAACCCAACCAAACCACCCACAGATAACAAAACATACAATGCAAGCGTCATCAGGCAGGCAGGGTCAATAACAGGAGGTCAGAACGTATGGAGTTAAGCAGGAGAATGGTCAGACAAAGCCAGGGATCAGAGCAGGAGAATGGTCAGACAAAGCAGGGATCAGAGCAGGAGAATGGTCAGACAAAGCCAGGGATCAGAGCTGGAGAAGCAACGAATCAGACAGGAACAGGAACCGGATTGCAGGAACAGGATACAGGGCCCAGGAGAAACACACACCAAGGCAGAGTCTGCAGGTCTGGCCATCCCTTAAATACACCAGCATAAGCAGTTTCAGGTGTTTGGCTGGCTGCAAGGTTGAGTCTCTGATTGCTGGGAGCACCCGCTGGCCAGCCCTGGTACTGCAGCCCATAAGGCAGGTGAGTCCCACCATTGCTGGCCAGTCCATTCCTGACAAATATACTATCCAAACCTTCAAAAGAGCAAAGAACTTGTCTGAGGTTTCATTTTCTTGGGCCAGTAGTTCCTCCAATCTCATTGTATCATTCATAACATGTGCCCAATGTAAGAGGGAGGGAGTACTGGATGATTTCCACAGGGAAGGTATCAACCGTTTCCCAGTGGATATAAAAAAGCAGAGTAAATTATTTTTGTTGACAAAGAGATCCTGGTAAAACAGATAACAGGCCAATTTCTGTGGAGGGCAAAAGTGACTCACCATACATGTCATTATAGACATCAAACATCCTCTTCCAGTGCTACTTAATCTTGCAGCAATCTGCCCAGCTCTGAAGGTAAGTACCTCTAGTACGATTACACCGCCAACATGTCTCAGAGACCTGTGAGAAAATGCGATGGAAAAAGACCATGTCTCTCTAACCACCTGGTAAGTATTTTATCATTTTTCTCCTGGGCATAATACGATATACTGGATTTATGAGTGAAAATGAAAGGCCCTGGGCCATGCAACAGGGTCCAACTGCCGATCCAGGTCCCAGTTTCACACTGCAAGAAAAGGAGAAGGATGTGAAGAAACTGAAGACTGGAGGATCTTATAGATTGTAGTTTAACATTTGCCTGAGTTGTTCCGAGAGGGAGCACAGCTGTTCGAAGTCTGCAAGAGGGCGCCTAACAAGAGACAAGATATGGAGTTGTTTACCAAAGGCAGTGAACTGGTGTGTTGTCAACCAATCCAAACCATCTCGAAGCATCGATCTTAGAAGGAGAAAGAAGATGCATGCTTGAGGCCAAGTATATTGATGAAATTCCCTCAAGGCCTGCAGATGACCGCTTCCCAGAAGGCAGGGTTGTCAAACAACAGAGACAATGGGCTGGGGTCTGTAGATAGAGCGTATATTTATACCATATACATAGGGTGTTCGTGGTGAGAGGAGTGAGGGAAGAAAAGAAAGAGTATGATTTTTTTGTACCCCCATAGCAGAGCCCGAAGATCATCAGGGGATAGTTTCAATAGCAGGGGAGGCCTTGGAGTATGGGAATGTGAACCAGTCCGGAAGGCATGCCTAGATCACGGAAGCATAATATTATTTAAAATCCGGCAGACCCACAGCACCTTCGGATTTAGGTAGGTGGAGGGTGCGTAACCTAAGTCTTGAAACTTGTTTGCTCCAGATAAAGCAGGAGGAAAAATAACGAAGCGTTTGAAAAAACAAAGACGGGAGAGCAAGGGGGAGGGTTTTGAAGAGATAAAGGAGTTTTGGGAAGCGTATCCGTCTTTATTGTAATAATTCTTCAGAACCATTGGATAGATTTAGTGTGCCATACGTCCAAATCTCTGCAAACTTGAGACAAAAGAGGACTAAAGTTGAGTTCAAACATGTCCATTAGACAGGCGGGGATGCCCAGATATTTAATCGAGCAATCAGACCAATGAAAAGGGAAATAAGAATGTAAGAGTCGGACAGTGGCAGGTGGTAGAGAAATATTTATGGAGTCTCTTGGAGATGTTTATTTTAAAACTGGGTCATCAAAACGTTTGAATTCACGGAACAGAAAGGCAAACTGATGTGAAGTTGCTAAATGTATAGAAGTAAATCATTAGCGTAGAGGGAGAGTTTATAATGGGTCGTGGGTGTGGGAATACCTAAAATAGAGGTGTTTTGCGTTATAGCTTGAGCTAAATGTTCAATGACAAGAACAAAAAGAAGGGGGGAAAGGGGACAACCCTGCCTTGTGCCATTGAAAATTAAAAAGGGCTTAGAGCATATGCCATTAACTAAAACTAACACTGAAGGAGATAGGAATAGCAAGCCATAAGTTGCTGATATAGTTAAGGCCCATGCCAATTTGTTCCAAAGAAAGTCTTAAAAAAAAGGCCAACTCACCCTACTAAGGTAGCGCCATTTCCTGAATTTAGGAAGACAGAGGATCGGGTTCAGCAGTGGGAGGAGAAGTGTTGGAGGGGGGATGTGAATTTTATGTGC